ATCAGTTTTATTATTATTATTATTTTTCTAATTATTATTATTATTATTATTATTATTATTATTATTGTTATTATTATTATTAATAATATCAGTTTTATTATTATTATTATTTTTCTAATTATTATTATTATTATTAAGCAACAGTAGCAGCATCTAAATTTTTAAGTTTAAAAACACTAATTCAGTATAATTTGAGTTTATGAAAATATGAATTGGCATGTAAAATTACCTTATTGTTCTGAAGGATGTATATATGTTTACGTAAAATGTAAAGTTTGCATCAGTTTCTTTTGATTTCAGCAGGTTTATGAGCTCACCATGCAGGATCTCATAGTCTGAGGAGTTTTATTATAAAACATTATTATCATGGCTATTTATGGCGTTTCAATTCTGTTTAAATAAGTTTTAGTGATTGAGTTTTAGGAATGCGCATTATAAATTAAAAAAATATTATCAATGTATTATTAAATTTCCATAATCTTAAATATTATTCATTGTTATTAAAATACCCAATCGTTTCTTTTAATTTCTGCAAGTTTTCATGAGTGACCTCATCTAAAGAACTTTTCTTATATAACATTATTATTATTATTATTATTATCATCATCATCATCATCATCATTATTATTATTATTATCATTATTATTATTATTATTATTATTATGGCTATTAATTGTGTTTAAATACTATTTAAATAAACATGTATATTGTGAAATACCTGATATTATACATAAACAATTTAACATTAAAATATGAACTTTTATCATAAAACATTATTATTATGGCCATTTATGGTGTTTAAATTCTATTTAAATAAATTTCAGGGCTTTGAGTTTTAGAAATGCGCATCATAAATAAAAATGTATCAGTAATGTATTGTTAAATGTCTATATTATTAAATACACTATATTATTCATTATTATTAAAATATCCATTTGTTTCTTTTGATTTCGGCAAGTTATATATATTCTGAGGAACTTTTATTATAAATTATTACTATTATTAATGTTATGGATTTGCATGATCTCATAGTCAGAAGAAGTTTTATTATAAAACATTTTTATTATTTATATCATGGAAATGCTCTCAGTCTGAGTAACTTTGATTATTATTATTATTCACTGAAAAAAATATTCAAAGATGATTCCCTGGATTTACTCATTTTTTACGTTAAGTGGTTGTAAACAATTTATTTGGGCTAAATTTAAACAAACAAATTAAGTTAAACATTATTCAATTTA